TTTTAAAACTGTCTTTGTTCACTTAGCCTAAAGCCTTTGAGATTCATCCAAGTTGCTGGGTATATCAGTACTCTCCCCAACTTTTTTTCCCACTGAGGAGCATCCATTGCATGGATATACCACACAGTTTATTTATCTGTTCACTCATTGAAAGATACTTTGGTTGTTTCCAGTTTTTAAAAAATTCCCAAGTAATACTTCTAGAAACATGTGTGTAGATTTTTGAGTGACATCAGTTTTATTTCTTTAGAGGAAATAACCAGGAATGGAATTGCTGAGTCACATAAGTGTATGTTTAACTTTTTATGAAACCATCAAACTGTTTTTCGCGGTGGCTGTACTATTTGCATTCCACTTGGAATGTGTGAGAATTTAGTTGCTCTGCATCCTTGCTACCACTTGGTGCTGTTGGTATTTTTAATTTTATCCATTCTGGTAAGTGTAGAGTGATATCTCAGGGTGGTTTTAATTTACATTTCTCTAATGGATGATGATGTTAAACAACTTTTCATGTGCTTATTTGCCATGTTGTCAAGAACTGTAAAGGATCTGAGTTTTTACCCTACTTACAGGTAACAAGTTAGCCTGCCATAGTTTTGTGGATGTTGGCAGAGAAATGAGATTCTGAGTTAGAGACAACGGACTTTATTATTCACAGGACATCAACAAAACAAGTTTCATTTTTACATGGGCTACCCTTGCCCTCAAGTCCCATGGGAGTGATGTCACAGCTGAGGAACTCAAGCTTAGGGAACCTAAATCTTTTATAATTGACAGCAAAGGGACCTGCTTGACCTTTGACCTGGAGGGAAACATTGTGTCTTTTATACTCTATTGATAGTAAACAAACTTACCCTCTGCTCTAGGGAGAGCTTTGTATATTTTAAGAATGGTAGATACTCCAGCATCCTTGAAGAGATAATCCGTTGCAAAGGCCTCTTGTATTGAAATATGAGAATTGTCTCCCAACTTGTATATCTTCTTTAGATAAGTGTCTTTCAAGTCTTTTGCCCATTTTTTTAATTGGGTGGTTTTTTTTTATTGTTGACTTTTGAGTGTTCTTTATATATTCTAGATACATGTCCTTGGTCAAATATGTGATTGCAAGTATTTTCTCCCAGTTTGTAGTTTTGTTGTTGTTGTTGTTTTCATTTTATTAATGGTGTCATTGGCAGAGCAAAAGATTTTAGTTTTGCTGCCAAGTTGTAGCTGCATATTGTAATGCACCCTTTGTGGGTTGTAATTCCAATGTCAGTTAGTTTTTCAAAACCTTTGCAGTACTGATTGCCCCATTTCATGTATGTGCTAGTCTGAAACTTGTTTGGCGGTCTCTGTTTGAATTTTAGTCTTTTGTCCTAAATAGCATCAGATCCATTATGCACAGCCTAGAGGTGAGCCCAGGAGTTCACAGACATTTTCAGGTTGCTCTCTTGAGTTCTCCTTTTCAGTGATTTCTCCTGTATTTATTTTTTGTTCCCTAGGTTCTCATCTTTTCTTTCCTCTGGCCAGAAAACTGTGGAGTTAGTTACCCTACTCTGTCATGTACACTGTACTTCCACAACTGTCTGCACATTTGAGGCCAAGAAATGGGAGGATAGACAGTGAAGAAAATCAGTAGTTCCCCTTACTCAGAGTTAGCTCCTGCAGTCTGTCTTTCCAGTCACTATTTTATGTGGTTGCTTGGGTGCTATGGCTCAAGAGAAGGTGGAAAAGACAATAAAATTGAGACATTTTCATATTTTCTCTCAGTGTTAGGGTTCCCTTTCTCCTTCCTTGAGCCAGAACTAGAGGCACTCTTTGTGCCTTGGTGTCCATTTCTGGGTTGGCTTGGTGATACTGGAGGGGGAAAACATGGTAAACTCACTGAGGGTTTGGTGATATGTTGAATTCTGGTCTTCCCTAATTCTACTCCTCCCTTTTGCCTTTGAGAATCTCCAAAAGTGGTGCTCAGTATATACTATCCAGGTTTTATAGCTGGACTAAATCTGTGAAGTCTGTCTCTCTCATAGCATGTGGCCCTTGATGTCTGTGTTCAATTTTTGTTTGTTTGTTTGTTTGTTTTTATGCTTGACTTCTAGGGATCATCCCTGCGCCTCCATCCCTTTATTTTCAGCCAAAGATTGTTGTTTGTTCAGACAAGGAATTTCTACACAGACATCTCTAGCCAGTAAGGCTTCCACACTGGTAAACAGACCCTGTGCATACACAGAGGAGACATGAGAGAGCCCAGCAGAAAGAGCTGGTGGCCTGAAGTTTAAATGCATTTCTTGGCTAACACATTGGTCCATCAGCAAAGAGGAAGTGTTTGTCCATTTTTATAGCTGATTTTGGGTAAAGAGGATTTATTGTCCTCACCTCATCACTCTATAAGACAGAACTTCATCTCTCAAGTTTTAATGTATTAAAATAAAAATCTTAACATGCTTTTCCCTTTTCAGGAGCTTTCAATGATGCTTCAATCCACACTCTATAGCCTGGAGTTTTTAAGTGCCATCGTATTTGACTTCACACCAAACTTTTTCACTTAACCTCCTCTTTATACCACATTGTTCTTATTCTACATTTGCTTTCCTGTTTCTGAGCTTTTTGTAAAAGATGTTATCCCTATTTAGAATGTCCTCTCTCCAAGACTCTCTTAGGTTCAACTGAAAGCTCTTTCAGGTCTGCACCCTCAGTCCTAGGCCCAAGTGGTCTCTCCATACTCCTTTATCAGAATTACGCCTTTTTCTACCTCACAGTTTCATAGCACTATATCTTTCTGCATTGTTCAGTATGCCTATTTTTTTGGTTATAAGCTTCCAGAAGGCAAAGACATGTTCTAGTAAGTATACTAACAATGGTATCTAGCTCAGTTCTGTGCACACAGTTGGCACTTAGTTAAATTATGATAAGATCCCTAAGATATAGGACTTAATTATGTCTGGACATGTGAGTTTCTTGAATACATTCTGTGGATCGTCACTTTATTCTGTGCTTGTTTGGCAGTTTATTTGTTTATGGGAAGAAGAATAAGGACCATTTCATTATATGAATTTGAATGGAAATTCTTGGGTAGCAATTTATAATACAATCCTGATGCTATGAACAAATAAGATATGGTATAGTAGAAAAGAAAACAAATTTTGGAATTTGTTAAGGCATTATTTTGAATTTTAACTCTAACATATGTGACCTGACTTCTTCAAGCTTTGTTTACTCAACCTCGAAATGGGGATACTAATTCCTTGTCTTTGATGAATAAATGATTTTATATTTTGGTAAGTACTTGACACAGTAGGTTTTCTACAACTGTTTATCCCTCTCTGTCCAAGCCAGTATTATCTGTTCCTGTATACTAGCAGAGAGAAAGAACTCCCTCTTTTCAGAGCTTTTAGGTGATTCTTCCTCACTCCTTTAACAACTGTAAGGTGGCAGCAAGAAGAAAATAGGGGTTAGTAAAATGAGTCAACCTAACACTATTGATAAAATCCAGTCAGTTGCCAGAGGTGAAAACTCCCTTAACACATTTAACCTGCCAAGTAAGGAATCTTGTTAAAAAATAACTTTGCAGAAAATCCAAATTATTTTGCTGATAGTCTAAAAAGGATAGTCATAGCTAAAAATTTCTCTGGTTTCATAATCAACTTAAGACACATTTTAAAATTAATTTCTCCTTATTCAAACAATTTTCTAAATTTATATCTTACATAAGCCCTTAAATTTGTATCAAATCTTAAAGGAAAGCTTATTCACTGTCCAAATGAAGGCTGAGTAGAAAACAGCCTTGTGTCCATATGCAATCCAAAACACATATTAAGCACCTTAGCTCCATACTGTGTTCTGTTGGGAATATAAAGCAGCTCCTCAAGATGCTTCTAGTCTAGGTGGGAGGAAGTCAAATATAGAAATGATTTTTTATAATGAAGTAGAATGAATATAACTGGTTCCTAAATAAGCAGTGTTATGAGTATAGAGGCTCAAAGTTAACTCTGGGTGGAAGGGTGCTCATGAGAAGCTTCACTGAAGAGATGGTCCTTAAAATGAACTTTCAATAGTGAATCATCTTTGAAAAGGCAGAAGAAAGGTATAGGAAAGACTTCTAGGCTGAGGCACAAACATGCATTATTTGCTTGGTAAGTGGTCATATGATTGAACATTACTGTGCTCAGAAAGGTGAGTTCGGACAAGTAGATTGGGAACAATGTAGTACAAAGAAGCTAACCTGGTTTTGAACATTGTTAGAACCTTCTCTGTTGCTTCTCTGCTGCTTGTTTTTAGTAGAGTTTACATGCTTTTGAAAATTTCTCTGAACCTGAGTTTTCACATTTAGTAAAATGGAGATAATGTTTACCTTTCTTTTTTGTGGGAAATAATTATATTAAATATCTGTCACAATATTGGGTATGTAGTGTGCGGTGACAAATACTAGGCTCATGTTTATTTTTCCTAGATTACTGAGGGCCTTGAATGCCGTCTCAGGATTTAGATTATTCTGATGCTTTAATTATACTCGCTTTCTTGGTAAATTTTAAACTTTGAGACAAAGTATTCACTTTTATCCCTCTCTGTTGATTGTTTAGTTTTCTGTGCAGAAGTTTTTTAAGTTTCATATAGTCCCATTTGTTCAGTTTTGCTTTTGTTGCTTGTGTTTTTGTTACGATATCCAAGAAATCATTGCCAAACCCAATGTCATGAAGTTTTTCCCCTGTTTTATTCTAGGAGTTTTATAGTTCTATGCTTTATATTCAGGTCTTTAATCCAATAGTAGTCCCTTCTTAAAGTGTTCATCATTTCTTTAATATGATTGCGTCAAGAATTTGCAGTATTTAAACTTTCTTTTTCCCTCCCTCTCTTTTCCCTGCCTCTCTCTCTCCTTTTTTTCCTTCACTCCCTTTTCCCCCTCCCTCCTCTTCTTCATTCCCCTATAGTTTGAAGATATGGACTCATTTTTTGGTGCTTAATTGCTATGCTGATAAAAGAATTCATTTAAAACAATCTTTTTTTGTTTGTTTCTTGGTTAGCAGGAAGAAGATGAGCCTTAAGTCTGAGCGCCGAGGAATTCATGTGGATCAATCAGAGCTCCTATGCAAGAAAGGATGTGGTTACTACGGCAACCCTGCTTGGCAGGGTTTCTGTTCCAAGTGCTGGAGGGAGGAGTACCACAAAGCCAGGCAGAAGCAGATTCAAGAGGATTGGGAACTGGCAGAGCGGTAAAAGGACGTAACTAGGGGTGGTTTAACCATGTTATAACTGGATATATAGTTCTGTCATTGTCAGAATACGTGTTTTCTCTTCTGTTTTGAGCAATCAGCAAGTCAGCTGATGAGAAATGGATTTTTTGCTCTTCTCAGACAACATTTAATGGATAGCTTTCAGTGATTTCTTATTTCCTCTTTGTCTTAACTTTTAATTATGTTGTGTTGGGGTGTGTTAATCTTAGACTCTAATATAGATAATAAGTTTCTTGGGTTAGAAGAATAGAGATAAACATACTTCACATAGAGGTTAAATGTGGAAATATATATGATGTACCTAGCTAGCACAGGTCTTGGGACATGGTTCTTGTCAAGCATTGTTTTCTTCATTTTTTGATATATCCAGCATGGCATCTGGCACAATCATAAACACATAATAGTAGAATTCTATTGATATGATATATAGCGCTTACATTATGAAAATTTAATTTTTATAAAATGGAGTTTGTAGGTCAAAAGTATTTGATAAGTTCGTATTATCTAGAAATACGAGTAGGATAAAAATTAAAAGGTAGAATACCTGGTGAGCATAGGAACTAGTAAAACGCCACGAATAATGTTAATCTTTTGCCAAAGCATCCCGGAAACTAAAACTTCTTGATAAAAGAAAGTCAGACTGAACTCTGAGAGCTTTTGCTAGTTTTTTTAAATATCTAATTAGCCACAATTTGTTGAGTGACTAGTCTGCCAGCATCTGTGGCGAACTCAGAATTATAAAGTACACTCACAGCTTTCGGTGACTCCATGGTCAATGAAAGAGAAAATACAGACATAGAACATGAACTATTTCCTCCGATTTCCCACTGCACTCCTAATTTTCTCAGTAGCTGATCTTATTTCATAAAGAAAGTAGAGGCTGCTAGGCATGAATTTCCTTGGCTTTCTCCCCTCTCCACATTAAAATGTACAAATATCTTTATATTAACTTCTGTTTTGCCTCAGAGAAAGATGTGTCCCTATTCCATCCTCAGACTACCACCTCTCCTTGTGACTTTGTTATTTTTTCTTACTCCTTCCAATTGTGACCCTGCTTGAAGTTTCTTAAATTTCTCATATTTGAGCAGGCATGAGAATCACCTAGAAATCTTGTAAAAACAGTGATTACTAGACCTCACCCTTAGAGTCTCTGACTTCATTAGGTTGGGAGTGAAGCCTGACAATTTGCAGTTCTAACAAGTTCCCAGGTGATGCTGATGCTGCTGTCTGGGGAATCACAGTGAGAACCATTTTCTGTAACCTTTAAGATTTATTAGAAATACCTGAAATTCAGCAGATCCAAGGCAAAAATTTATTGCTTTTATTTACTCTAATCCCCATTTCCAACTTTTTTTCTAACCCTCTTTCTGTATCAATAACATCATTGTTTATTCACTTGGCTAAAAAACATTTGAGTCCTTTACCTCCCACACTGTCTACAAATAATTGAGCACCTTCTAATTATTGTAGCTTCGGAAGGCTTTTGAATTTTACCCTCTCCTATTTTCCAGCTCCTTATTTTCTCTTATTTAAATCTTTGTAATATATTCTTAATTATTGTCCCTATCTCTAGTCTCTCTGCCCCTCAAGTTGTCATGCAGATACCTGTATTATCTTCCTAAAGCACAGATCTGATAATGGTAATTTATTGGATTTATAGTCTTTTTTTGGTTCTCTACCTCATGATGAAATCCAAGATGATAGTGAAGTTGGCAGTCAAGATTTCTTACCATGTAGTGCCTGCCTCTACATCCAGCATCATAGTCTATCACACCATCAGTGTTCTGACTACATTGAACTTGGATCATAACAAGAACCACATGCCTTCACATTTGTAATTCCTTCTTCCTGGAATGCCCTTTCACTTGGCAGAATCCTATTCATTCTTTAAGACAGACCTATTTGTCACCATTGTGAAACCTTCTTGGATTCCTCCAGATTTAGTTTTTTTTCCTGTGTTCTCATACCCCTTGGGTTTTACTCTCCACTATAGGAACTGTCACATTATACTGTAATTATTTACTTATCTCTTTCTCCTTTTTGACCACGAGCTTGTTAGGGAAATGAACACGATCTATGGAGAAAGTCCCTTTTAAAGTCTGTAGTAGCATGCAGGATACTTACACATTAGAGAGCTCAGACCTATTTGCTATATTTAGCCTCTAGTTCTAAATATTTTAGATCCTCAATTCGTTGAGTACTAACTTTTAGATACGAGGAGAACTTGGAGGATATCTGGATCATTCTTAATCCTCTCTTGAATTACAGACTACAACGGGAGGAGGAAGAGGCCTTTGCTAGCAGTCAGAGCAGCCAGGGGGCCCAGTCTCTCACATTTTCCAAGTTTGAAGAAAAGAAAACCAATGAGAAAACCCGCAAAGTGACCACAGTGAAGAAGTTCTTCAGCGCTTCATCCAGAGTCGGATCAAAGAAGGGTGATTCTGTGATTTCTTTTTTTCCTTTTGTGCCCAAATGAGGTACAGAGTAGATCCACAATGCATGTGGGCTCAGTTTTTTCATTTCTGTAAACTTTCATAGACTATTAACTTAGATTTGAGACTGAAATTAGGTTTAAGGGTCGGATGATATATATGAAACCAAAAATCTCTGGTTGGAAGACATTGTGTTTTAGAGAAGCTTGTTTATAGGAGCAATAAAGGGAATTGAAATATAGTTTTCTTTATAAAATTCATTCCCATCTAAAAGGCTATCTTTTGGGATGTTTTATTTTTGTGCTTTTCATTTTTGGTTTCTGGTTTATTCTCCTTTGTGTAGTATCCTCACTATCCATACCTTATCAGAAATGGCTGTTTCTAGGCTTGCAGTCATCTAATACAGAAGTTTTCTGAGACCTTATTTGAGAGACAGCTTGTGTCTTGAGGAAATATGTATGAACATATAGGGAACATGTTGAGTGAACATATAGGAAAAGGCTTAGTTTGGGCTTTTAGAGGAGTAGCAGTAAACCAAAGTATATATTTTATAGCGCATAGATTTGTATATACTTGACCTTATTCATCCTATTTCTTAAAATGCTGTGTAATCAGCAAAAGGATTATCACCAAAGTCACAATTGTTCTACCGGTGAGCAGACAAGCTAGTTGAAATGGCCTAGCAGGAAGCATGAAAGAATGTCTTGTTAGGGCTTAATCTCTGAACCTTTATGTTAGTAATGAGTTATGCAGTGAATTTGGAATGGTGAGGGAGGCTGGGAACAGGAGCTGTTTTCTTGAGGCCCCTGTCTCACCCATAGCTCCACAACCTGGGTAGTTGTCTTGAGGTTTTTTAGGTTTGCCCAAAGGCAGGGGAATGATAACTTCACACTTTAAGATCTTTGCTGATCTTTCGGATTTAATGACTTTTGTTGTTTTGTTTTATTAAAAGGGAAGGTTATTGTCTATCAGCCATGCTACCCTGAACAAGCCCGATCCCGTCTGATCTCGGAAGCTAAGCAGGGTCGGGCCTGGTTAGTACTTGAATGGGAGACCACCTAGGAAGACCAAGTGCTCTAGGTGTAAAAAATTAAAAAATTAAAAAATTAAAAAATAAGGGATTGTAAACTGACAAGATCCTTGCAATCTTTGAGGTCAACTAAGGGTTGCCTCGCCAAAAAAAAAAGGAAGGTTGTTTATAACCAACAGTATTTCTCTTAATAACTGCAAACTTTTAGAAAGTCTTTTTGTTCACATGATTAATTTGGAGTTGTTTCTTGGTTGGCTATTACTTATAGCAGTTTTCTCTTCTGCAACAAGAGGGGGAATAATCAATACCTGCTAGAGATTAAATTAAGAGTGTATTTGGCTCATGGTTTAATTATTAGGAGGTAATATATAGAGTAGTTAAGAATATAAGCTTTGGAGTCACCCTGGTTTGAGTCTCTGCTTTGTGGTTTACTAGGTCTATGACTGGGAGCAAGTTAATTTCTTTAAAGCCCTGTCTGTTCTGAGGAACAGTAATACTAACCATAGGCATGTCTTGAAGGTTAAATGAGTTGTTGTGTATGAAGAGTTTAGCACAGTACCTGACACACATTGTAAGTCTCTAATAAGTGTTAGCTGTTTAAAAATATGTTGTTTTTCTGAGAGAATAATCTCTGCTAGTAAGGAGCTCAAGGGTATTGATGAAAGCCATTCATTTATCTTAAATTCTTTTTCTTGCTTTGAGAAAGTCTCATCTTATGCATTTATGATAGGTGGTGAAATGTTATATGACAACAGATGAAATAGTAAAGAAATTATAAAACTATCGGCTCTACCTGCCTCATTTTACAGATGACAGTATGAAAGCCCATAAAAGTTAACTGGTTTACTTACCCAAGGCCGTGTAATGAGTTGATGTATTAGAATTCAGGTCTCCTAACTTCTGTTTCAGTTTTTTTCTACTATAACCCTTGACCTCAAGTACATGCCTGTGTGTTTCTATGTCTATATCTCTATGATGAGGTTTCTATTACTAAGTTCATAAAGTTATGCATATTCACTGACCATCCTTGGCAGTTTTAGAAAAAGGTCCTAAGAGCTCTGACAATGTGCATCATATTATAGAAAGAAGATTTGTACTTTAAAAGAAGCAAGTCCCAAGTTATTTTTATTTTAAAACTTATATATGTAATAGTTCTTATGTTTTAGCTCTTGGTTTTTAGGTTTTTTGTTTGTTTGCTTGTTTGTTTTTTGTCTCTAGAAAGCATATGGAGATAAAGGCCTCAAAGTACTGAAGAAAATCAGTGTGCGCTGTTGGATCTTTAACTTTTGCCAGATGAACTTTGCATTTCAAACTGATATTTTTTGCCTTTGCATGTGGATAAAGTTAGCCCATACTAAATGCAGTTTTAACTTATTGAGTCTAGACTAAAATAGACCTTTTGTATTCTGTGTTCTTTATTTTACTTCATTAATACATGATGCCTTTGCTCTTTATATTTTACTTGCTACATTGGTGGCACAAAGGAAAGCTCTTAAGCTAAGGCAGCTTGGTGATAAATAGAACCCAAAGAACCTTCTAAGGGATTCGAAGACTATTTTAACAAGAGTTGGATGCCCCTTCAGAGAAGATAAATGGAATAACCTGACTAAAAACTGAAGAGAGTTTATTTACAGTTTTCTAATCTCCAAAGTAAAGTTGAGTGAGCCATAATTTATAGAGTAAATCATAGTGGATTGGCCAAGTTAAAACACTTGCTCAAACATTAAAAAATGCCTTTTTAAAAAGGAGCTCAAATCAGTGTTGTCACCCTGAGTAAAATTTTGTGGACATTTTACAAATTATTCAAAAGCCTGTGCTCCTAGAATTAAAATACTAATCTTCCAGCCAGGCCTTCGGTTCTAACACTGTTCTTCACTAAAGTGAACTAAGTTCCTTGGAGAAATGACTGATTCCATGCTGGAGCAAGGAAAGAGAGTCCCCCTAAAATGCTGGAGATACATCAAAGCTAGCTAGAATGGGTTCCCACTGGCCATATTGGAGTATCAGAATAAATAAGAACAATATAACTGATTGAATACAATAATAATCCATTAGTCTATCTTACTAATAACATAAATAATTAAATAAAAGAGAAGAGAAAGGTCTTCTTTACCAAAGAATGTTGAATAATTAATCAATATAGAAGGGATGATGGATATAGAAAATCATCATTTTGCAATCATCGTAAGAATTGATTCAGGCAGGTTTCATCAATGGGTGCTAAATCTGGGGTGAGAAGGGACAGTTTCCTGAAGAACAGGTTATGAACATGGTCTCCGATTAACTCCCATAATTTATTTATTAATAACAAATAGAGAAATAGTAACTGTATAACTCTGGGAGAAGATGGACATTATATGCATCCACGTATGATACTTTGAAAAGAGCACAACATGAAGTATATAATATCTAAACTGAAATTTATAACCTGAATTCAATCATGAGAAAACGACAGCGAAACCCAAATGGAGGGGCATTCAATAAAGTAACTGGCCTATATTCTTCAAAATTATGAATGTCATGAAAAATGAAGGCTGAGGAATGTTTCCAGATTGAAGAAGACTAAGTATACATGACCACTAAATGCATGCGTGACCCTCAGTTGAATCCTATGTAAGGAAAAAAAAAAGCCACACACTTAAAAAATAGCTGTACTGTTGTATGTAAAAGAATGTCCTAGTTATTAGGAAATACTCATATTAAGGAGTAAAGAGCATGATATATACAATCTACTCTGAAAATATTTACAAGAAATAATACAGTTATGTAGCAAAACCTTAACATTTTATGAATCTGGGTAAAGGCTATAAAGGAATTCTTTGTAGCAATATTGCAGCTTTTCTGTAAATTTGAAGTTATTTCAAACTAAGTTTTAAAAAATAAAACTATAACCCTCTAGCATTCAGTGCTATCCCAAAACCAGAATTTCAGATATTAATTAAATAGAAGCATGGTGTTAATTACATTGTTTGAAAGATCACTAATGAATAGCTACTTAATCCTGAAGGCCTAGTTGGTGCTTACAGGAAACCGAGGTGAAGTTTCCCAAGTTGACTTTGGAACCAATTTTATAACTGTGCCTGTTTTTACAATTATTTTGCAAGTACAGGCAGTTTGGTTGACTTTTCTCATTTACTCCAAAGATTATTTATCTTGTAAAATCTTTTATAATGTTATCGAATGCAATATACTTAGAACATGATCAGTTTCTGATTTTTATTGATAAGGGCACGAGAAGTTTTCCTTGACACCAAATATGTAGTGTTTTTTATTCTCCAGTACCACTGGGTGACCAATAATTCTATAGAGAGTCAGCACAGACCCCCACGGGTTAAGGGCTCAGTCTCACAAGACTTCCCCCGTTTCAGACACCAGTTGAAACCCCCAGGATTGGGGACACTCATACTTCAGACCAACTAGCTATAAATTGGGAATTCCCACAATCTTCTCAGGTTTGATAATTTGTTAGAATGACTCGCAGAACTCAAGAAAACACTTTATTTACTCTACTTGTTTATCATAAAGAATACAACTCAGGAACAGCCAAATGGAAGAGATGCATAAGGCAAAGTAGGGGAGGGGATGCCGAGCTTTCATGCCCTCTTTGGGCATGCCATGCTCCCAGCACCTCGATGTGTTGACCAACATGGAAGCTCCCCTAAACCTGTCGTTTAGGTGTTTTTATTGAGGCTTCATTTTGTGGGTGTGATTGATTAAATCATTGGCTTTTGGTGATTAGAGATCCCAATTTCCTCTCCCCATCCCAAAGTTGGGTCAGGGGTGGGACAGGACTGAAAGTTCCCATTTGATTGGTTCCTCTGGTGACTAGCCCTTATCTAGATAGCCCTAAAACTACTAGGGGCCTAGCAAGAGTCACCTCATTAGTACAAACTCAGATATAGAAGAAAGAGACTTGTTATGAATAAATAAAAAAAAAAAAAGATGCTCCTCTCACCCTTATCACTCTGGAAAT